TCCAGGGAACTCACCTCGCTGTCCGGATGTCGGCCTCACCGTTCTATGAAACAAATCAAAAACACAGAATTGTCCAGGTACTCCGGTAAGCCCAGTGAAATAGAACGAACGTCAATGAAACCCAGGCGAGAATCATGAGGCAACCGACATCACGGGTCCTGTTTTGGGTAGGATTTTCGGACAGCGAGGCGCTCCGATAAAACATAAAATGTACCACCCCGGTTCATTTGAGAGTGTCGTAAGCTTCTTTCCTTTTCCGGGCTCCAAGTCGTTCGTGCGGTAAGGAAAAAGTGTGCGGAAAGTACTCCAGCTTGCCGGTTGGCATTCATCCAGCCGAAGCACGCAAATACCAAGTCGTAGTCCCCATCCATATATGCAAGTCGTCAAAAGGTCCATGAGTATGCCAGGTTGAGTCCATTCTTGGCGAAAATATCCAGGCATGAGTGAAAAGTAAACGAGAAAGGCTCCGTCCAATTACTGGGTTGTCCGGGAAAGGTGAGAAGGAAGATAACCCGAAGGGCATGAGGACCAAACCCTCAGAAGCGGATGGTGCAAACTTGCAGCAATTCTCCAAAGGTAACGGACGTTACAACTGAAATCCTGGCTTCTATCCGGAAAGAAACAAATGATCATGGGAGCCGACGCCGTGGAAATGGAACGGGATCCCAGGTCATACGGGATCTCACAGTCAAAAACGGGCAGACCCATGGGAAAGAAATCTCATGAGACCAAAATCGACAAGTCTGGGCTGCTCCGGTACGAACTCATCGGCGAGAGGCTCGGTGCCTATCGGTTGGTTCCCTCTCGCGACGAGAATGAGATGCTGCACTGCTGGCCATTTGAGTACTGGAAGACGAAGAAGCGGCGGCGCGCGGGGTAGGATTGGAAGCATACTGTTGTCCTTGGGCGGAGCTGAAGGCCTGGGGTGCACCTGCGGGGGAAGCTACATAATCAGACGGTTTTCGGGTAGAGGTTAGGGGATTCGGTGAAGACGCACCGCGACCATATATCGTGTCTGGGGCCTGTGCCTGAGAAGAGCCGTAGCTCGCGGCAGCCTGCTGCTGAGGGTAGTAACCTGGAGCACCGCCATAAGCGGCGGCAGCCTGCTGTCCATAAGCCTGTCCGGGACCAGGCGCAGTGGCAGCGGGAATGCGCTGACCCGCTTGAGAGCTACCATAGGGATCATTGTACTGCTGGCGCATGGCTGAGTTGACCGAGTTCACACTGACGTTGGTGTATGGGATGTCCGGTGGTCCGTACGAGGCGGTCTGTGAAGCAGGATACCTTGGGTCCGGCTGCGGAGAGTATGTAGCATTCTGGGGAGGGTACTGGTAGCCACCAGTTGAGCCATAGCTGGATTGCACGGAGGCGTGCGCAGAGCCGCCGCCCTGTGACGGGTAGGAGCCCGAGTTTCCTGAGTAGCCTGGAGCTTGGGATCCTGGGTATCTGGGAGCATCATAGGGGTCACGACCATCTGAGTATCCTCCAGCGGTTTCGGTAGTGGGGCCAAAGTGCTGTCGGGCATTGTGGGTGGCCGAGTCACGGTACCCTAGGATGGGCGAGTTAGAATGTCTTGAAGGCTGGCCCTTCGCACTCTTTGAGGCCAAGGTACCTGCTGTGCTTGGGGCATTGCGGGAAGCCTGCTGCCGCCGTTCTGCCTCCCACCGAGCTGAGTCGGCCTTCAAATCATCAATCATAGCCTGTGCCCCGTCAGCGTATGTCCCTGCCGACAACAAGATGGGCGGGGGAAGAGCGACGACTCACTGTCGTCAGATTCCGGTAGGCTGTGATGTAGTAGCCTTGGACGGCCTGGCCTGTTTGGGGGTTCTGTAGGGAGGCTTGTCAGCACGAGGTCCGACACCGTCAGATCGACCCGTGTCGTGCGATGCACGGCGAAGACGGTTGTCGCTAACTCGCCATGTGGAAGAGCGTACCTCGTAGTGACCAGGTCGGACGAGTGCATCGTTTCCGAGGTAGCGGCAGATGTCGGCGGTGATGACTTCTCGATCAATGCCGTCCCTCGGAACGAAGTACTCGTTGGAGCGGCTGCTGGCAGTGGAAGCGCCGACGCCGCTTGACTGAGGCGCGCCGCCTCGTGGTTGCCTTGACGCCATCTGATTGATCTTCTGACTGTGGCGAGGGGGGTAAGAGAGAGCAAGAGCAAGAGCGAAAAGGAAGAGAGAATCGCGGCAAGATCCTGGATGAATCGTATACGTCTCAATATATCGAAGAGGAGAACGAGCCCCTAGGCGGTGGTTGTAGGTGGTGATGGGCTGGGAAAGAGAAAGATGCGAAGGTTCGGAGTAGGCAGCGTTTGGAGGGGAGGGGGAAAGTGGGTGGTGGCCGAAGAAAAGGGCAGTCATTGCGCTGGCAGGAAGACCATGTGGGTCGGCCTGAGGGCCAGCGGCAAGTCAACTGTGACCGACATCCAGTGGGCAGCAGCAAAAACTGGAGGCAGGAAGCACCACCGGTGCAGCGTCAGCGATGAACCTGGCTCGAGGCAGGCAGGCGGGCAGGTAGGTAGGCAGGTAGGGCAGGGATGACAGGGATTAGCGAGTCGGCTTAGGCCTCTGGTGTCCCAATGGTGGTCCGTGACTGGCCACGCCCGTCAGCAGGCACACATTGAGCGCCCCCCCTGGAGGTGAAGGAGGTCGGGACGCGCTGGCAGCACACTGTTGGCTGGCTAATAAACCGTGCGCCTGCCCTGCGTCTACCTATCGTCTGCATCTGCTTTGCTGCTTCTGCCTTGCAGTTGCAGTGCCCCTAACTGAAGCAGCAAGTACCTACCCAGGTGGCGGCACGCCAAGATGCCTGCGTCGACTCGTTACCGAAAAGCAGAGGGTGTCGTCTTCTCAGCCACAGCATCTCGTGCTCCCCACGCTCGTCCACTTCCACTTCACCCTGCCTACGAGCCCGGTCTCTCATGAAAAATGGTTTCCTGTGAATAAGACTCTGTTCACGAGATCCGTTTCAATGAGCCACCATATTCCCTTCCAACTAACAGAAACGACATCGTCGGGGATCGTCGGAGGCTGCGACAGGCTGTCTCCCTGTTGCCGTCCCCTCTGTTTAGCCCAACATAATGAAGCTCGGGAGCCTGACAGGTTTGACAGCCTGACGGTCTGGCACCAAAAGAAAGTCGATGGTCTTGGTGACAGGACCTGGTGACGTACGCGATGATCCAACATTGTGATTGTCATTTTTGTAGCCGGCACCTCCCTCGTGTCCAGTTCTCGACCGGACGCTCACCCCAGATCCAGGACGAGCCCGATCTCATCCACTTGGAAGGGCCTAGGAACAGCCCTCGAAAAATGGCATTTCATGTCGGCTGCTTGCCAAAATGGCAATGGGACCAGAAATGAATGGCGACCCCCCCCCCCCACGACGCGCAGTCAGGCTGGCACACCCCGTATGGTTGGGTTTTGTCATTTTCAACGTCGAAACCCCTGGTGGAGGAACCCTGATCATTCAAATACGACATGTTGTGCGACCATTTCTTGTAACACGAGTGGCACTACGAATACCTTCCGCTGTGCGGAATCTGCTTCTTACTCAAACACCACACCAGTAGAAAACCCTCACGACGCGCTTCTCGCAACGAAACTTTTCTTCTTCTGCCAAGCCTTGCAACAGAACGTCTGGGCCACTAGAGCCAGCGTGGCATTTGCTACCTGACGGTCATGGGCCATCCTGGCTTCCCTCACTCGTCTCGTCCAGCCCCTTCTCGACTCTCTGTCTATCACCGTCTCATTGGCGCCTCCCCCCCACCGACGAAACGGGGTAGCTCCGCCGACGCGCCTCTGCCTCATAGTCTTCTTGAGCAGACGATTCGAAGCCTAGGAGGGGCCCATTCAATGATAGCGACGTGGTGCAATGCGCTGCGTCTTCGATGTTATTGCCTCGAAAACATCATGTGCACGTGCAGTGCAGTAGCTTGAAATGGTTGATCGGCTGCCGCTGACCGACATGACATACACGGCTTGACGACCAAACCTGGCCATCGATTGAATATTCAGACTGGTCCCGCCTTCAGGTGGCTGGCACGTCAATCATCGTTGGGTAGCAATGCCTTGCTTGGATTGTGGCCCAACCTCCCGACTCAAAGTACCCAAAATTCCCGTCCAATCATCGATCGTTTTACTGTCACACGGTGATAGGACGGCCATCATGCTCAGACATGCCTGAGCAACTCATTCTCAAGCATCGTCATTAAGACGCTGCGCCTTTGTATGGTACCAGGAAACGGCGCTTCCGGGGGGGACTTCGGAGGCCAGGTCTTGCACCGCAACGTACCAGGACAAGGGATAGGATCACCAAGAGCTGGTCATCATGTACCCAATATGCCGGCTTCTCCTATGCTGCTCCACCTAAGCTGCAATCGCACGACTCCGAACCCAGAGCACCAAAACCCTGACCTACCAAGACTGGGAAGCGCTGCCTGTAATCCGTCTGCCATTCCTCTCAACAAAGCTCTTTGTGGGGCGTCGTGGTCAGCGAATCTGATACACAAAGGGAGTGCAAGCGGACGACTGCTCGACACTTGTTCAAATGCTGTAAATCAAAACAGCTCAGAGGACCTGCTTTCCGAGGACTTCATCGCCAGCAGTCCGGCTTGGTCACCGCACTGTAGCTTGCAGAGGTCAGGCTTTTCTGCCCAGTCATGGAGATCGGCCGTACGAGGAGACCCATCCATCTGCGTCTCAGGCCATCGTGCATGCCCAATGCTGCCCACCGCTTCAGCATCACCATTCTGGTCTGTCGGTTCCCGTGGAGTGGGTCCAATCGTGGAAAAAGTGCAGGTCGTACTGTTTGTTTGTGACGCGGGCCGTCAAGTGGTTGACATGGTCTCAGCCCCTTTAGTCCATGCTCTTGTGGCCGTCGCCTTCGGATCATCAGGGATCACGAAACTGTTACAGGCCAGCCATGGAAGCGGAGCGACAGGACGGCTGGCGCCGCTGGCGATCTCTAACACCACTTGGCCTATGATGTGTGCGTGCTACCTAGCCAAACTTCAGTTTACGTTGGCCATGTTCGAGCTTGCCGCTTCGGCCACCTCGCTTCGCGGATGTGGCAGCTTTGCGGGGGCCGGCAGCATGAGAGGCGGAGGGCGGTGTTTGGACGAATGCGGACTTTCCACGTTCTTCGTCCTGGAAGTCCTTGGCAATATGCCAATCCTGGTGGCTTTGGAAGTCGTCGCTATCTTGGAAGCGTGCATTGCATCTGCTGCACAAATGGACGGGCACAGCCCAGGGGTTCGAATCGTTTGTCTCGATTTCTCCGGCGTCTTTGACACGAGAAGTTGTCGTGCCCGTTGAGAGTATCTGCTGCTTGTCGTCAGTTGATTTGCTCTCTTCGGTCTTGGCCGCATCGTGAGCGGCCACATCTTCGTCTATAGAGACGCTTCGGGTCAAGAATTTGTGTATGCCGCCGTCACTAGCCAGGCGGCGTTTCTTGGCAGCTGGTACCTCAGATGGGGACATGTGAGTCGAGGTGTTCGACGCCTGCCTCAAGGCCTGAGCTTCAGCTCCCTTTACCAGAAAAGCGCCGATTCCCATGTTTCCGGTGATGCCATCTTCGAAGCCACCAACACTTAGGCTGAGATTCTCGCAGGGCCAGACTTTGCCCTCCGCGACAATCTGCTGCAATAGGTTTCTCGCAAGATCGAACAGACCTTGCTCATCAATGGGCTTCCCTTGAGGTATTGGCCCTTGACGTGACTTCATTTGGCCACCGTGTCTATGGTGCAGGTTTATCGTCTTTGGCCTGCGTTTGTTTTCGAGCACACCCTCCTCGACCAATCGGGAAAAGATGTCAGCGACAAAGATTCGTAGCCAACGGTTCCCTTGGTCTGGTGTGTGAATGGAGGGGCGGAACGATTTGGCGGACAGCATTGATTTGATCTGGGTTCGAGAGTTGACTTCGCTCTGGTCAATGCCACGAATCGTGTTGTAAACCCAGATACCCGTCTCGTCCCCCAGTCTTGCCTTCATCTGATCCAGTGGGGTCGGCAGGAGATCTTTGACGGTGTCCGTGTTGAACATGTTGACGATGGTATCACCAAGCTTGCCACCCAGATTGCGGATCTTGGTGAATTTGAAGTCGGAAAGAAACTGTTGGACGGCGCGGTTGCGTATCACAGTCTGTTGGTCGGGCTTCTTGTGGGCCGAGCCCAACTTGCTGAGCATCTTGTTATTCGCTATGCCAGCGGAACAAGTGTAATGCAGGACTTCGTGGATGCGTGCGCGGACGCCCCGGATAATCTCGGACCCAATCAGTATTGCCACGTCGTCCCAGTCAGGGTCCTGGTTCTCCGCGTCCTCGTCTAGGTCAATCAAGGCGTCTGCTTGCCAGTCGAGCGCGACAACCGGCGGCCGAGGTAGCCTCTCCGTCGGGTCATCATATGGCGGCGGATTATTCAGCTCGGGAAAGCGCTCGAGCAGGATTGAATGGACGTGGGACGACAGGTCACAGAACACCTCATCGATGCTCGCTTTCTCAACCTTTTGGAGGTCAGGTGGTAGTGTTTCTTTGATGAGTGCCAGGATCTTTCTCGACTGCAACCGATAGGGATCGAGCGACACCTTGTCGCTCGTAATGTTGGCGGCGGCATCGTCACGGTACGCCCACTTGTCGTCGCCCTCGCGCCATGTGGCCACGTGCTGTGCGATCAGGTCTGGGCACAACTTCCTCGCTTCTGCAAGGGTGCAGTGCCTTCCAATGCCAAAGCTACGCGCAGGGTAGTTGATGGCAATCAAACCTTGCCTGATCATGTCAGTTCGGTCATCATGAAGCGCGCGTTTCATGAGAGAAAAAAAAAGGGAGAAACAATGTGTGGCATCCTTGGCTTGACATACCACTGCTGCACGGCCAGGGGCTGGTCCTCTGGGGTGTCCAGGCGCACCATCTCACACTGGGCATAGAACGCATCGAGGTCAATGTGAGCAATGACCCGCAGCGGACTAGATACGGCATATGAGGCGAGAAGTGAGAGCTGTCGATAAGTGAACTGGGATTTCGGGCTCCTCGTGCCCATCAGGGGCGACGACTCGCGAAACTGTGGTGAAGAGGTCGTCATGGTCTGGATGGGTCACGGCTGCATGTCAAGAATTTCCAGTACTTGAGCTAGGCCTACAGTCTGCAGAGATCATCTCGAGTCTGACGAGGTAATCGCTAGGTAGTCGTGTGAGGCCGGAAACAACGCCATTGGGATGAAGTGTTCTGATATGGAGGTTGAGACGCGAACGCGGGTCTGTCTTGTGGTGTTGCCTGGTGGTTACATAAGCGCGCTAAAAAAGGGCGCCTCCAAACGTCATGACTGCCACAATGGAATTGGTAAGGCAGTGATTCGAGGTAGGCAACCTCTCTTGGTTACTTGAACAATGCGCCCCCGAAAAATTGATACTCTGGGTGAATAGTGTTAAAAATAGAGGCTAATCATTAAGAATTATGTAGTGGTGGATTTTTGTTTGGTCTCGCCGTGTCATCCTTGCCCAACACACGCAAAGGGAACCACACGTGTGCATCCAAACCTGGCGCTGCGTTGCCTCGTGTCGAATAACTGGGTATCTTCGTGATGTCAACTCCCTCGTTGAGCGTTCCTTACCTCATACATTTCTGTGAGGCTGCCCTCTTCATCCACCAAGGTTGGGATTCCGTTCCGCTTCGCCAGTGATTGCAGTACATGACCCATGGGGTAATCACTGTCCGCGTTCTCGTGAAGCGCACAAGGTGATTTCCTAATAGGAAGCAGCCAGTCAATGATATTATTTCCCATGACCTGCTTCCAATTCTCCTTCCATCCGAGGTCCCACGGATTCTCATCGGGCTCTGTACGCAGTATGGCGAATGTTCGTGTGGCAGCAAGGTCTCTCGCTGACAATTGCTGCTCACCAGAGTGCGACGCAGACGACCTTGGCAAAATGGTGCCCCCGCTACTTTGACTGCTTGGTGTTTCGCTGTGTTTGGCCAAAGGATATGTGACGGTTGAAAAGTGCTGGCTGGATGGAGTCCCGCGCGGCACGCGAACAGCCACCTGATAAACCCATGCCTTCTTAAGCATGTCGATATTAGTAACGTTAAGAAAGACGTAATACCACGATGTCATCGTCATGGTGAAGGTAAAGAGGCCGAAAAAGGCGGAGAGTGCGATGACCGCGACGACCTGCCCGTCCAGAGATCGTCCCTCCTGTTGTTGTTTGGCCAGACAATATGCTGCCGTCGATAGCACAACAGCACACATGGCCGCACAGTAGCAGGTAAACTGGGAGAAGAATTTGAATGCTAGCCAATGTCAGACCAGTCCTTTAAGGGCCAGGCAAAAGGGGATTCAATGAAACCTACAAGTCTCTGAAACCATCCCACCAACCCATGGACAGTAGTGGTCCATCTTCAGTACACACCGGCCAATCTCGCTGGAGTGATGCGCACGATCTGGCTTCCAGTTGCGACATTCTGAGCACCACTTGGGTCGGCCATCGTTCTCACAGATGAACGCGTTTTTGCTGTAGAACCTCTCCAGTCCCGGGCTGTCCGGGTCTTGATCGGGGCCTGGCTGATAGGGTTGGGATTCAATATCATCGGCGCGCCGTCCAGATCGTTTGCCTCCCTTCGTTATTGATTTTTCTACTCCGGTCTCGGCTCTCTGAGCCTCTGGGCCGAGAGGTACAAGTCCAGTGTCGGTGTTGATGGTCCATATCGTTCGGATGTATGTCACCAAGGACAAGAAGAGGAAAAGAAAATAGAGAATCAAGACGGCAATGACGGTGCCAGTTTCTCCCCTCTCTTTCGATAAATATTCAACTTGGGGTTTGTCCATTAGTGCGCGGTTAGAATAGGCTTGCTTTGGAGGACGTACTGCAGAGTCGCGATACGACAACGTACGTCGCATAACCAAGAACACCAGCAAGGATGGCCGGGATGACCCGGCTTGTCCATCTAGCGATGGCTTTGTGACTCTCTTGCGATTCTGTCATGGTGGCAGGCAGTGCATCCCGGGAGACGCGTGGCGTCTATGGTGGAGGCAGTATGGTGTCGGCGTCGCGCTCGCTGTGGTTACTACCTAGGATCGAGTGTTGTGTCGCGACATGGCTTTCGGAACGCCAGGACTAGAAATGGCATGGCATCGTGGTCGTGTTCAGGAATGAATCGGATCGAGGATGAAGGATTCTGCAGGGTTCCCACACAATACTGGTATTGGTAGGGGAACGTCGGTCGCATCGCTGACGCCGACGGGGCAGATGAGGTCTGGGCGATGCATCATTAGATGGCAACCTGCCATTCGAGAGAAATTATTGATGACTAAGGCGTGGTTCATGCCCAACCAGTGGCCCAGCAATGACCATGACCCCGACTCTGCACATATCTTACTCTGATCTGAGCGTCCTTCATCATTTACCTTAAAGGAGAGGAGTAGTTCACGTCACGATCCCCGGAGAAACTAAGATGCTGTGCAGCGGCATGGTAAATGCGTACGGGGCCGCTCCGGTGGAAGACCTAGACTGTATTCGGTGCCCGGGTCTTTGCTGCTGCCAGACATGAGCTTAAGGCCCAGCCTTTCTTCCAATAAAGCGAACACATGACGCTTGACCGAACCTCAGCGGAACCTTACTCGCCTGCCCCTTTTGCGCTCCACGATAGCCTCATGTCTCGGGCGAGGCGCAAGGTCGTTCACACAGCCTACTACCGAACGAAGCAGGAGCTTCAAATAATCACATACCCGCCGTAGGTACCTTATTAGGTCGTATTGACGTCATGACTCCTCCACGAGACGGCCTATCCACCTTCACAGAGTGAGCCTGCCCTGCTTCAAGGACGCGGTTCCACAAAGTCTTATTATTATTTTGGCTCGGCGATTTATTCTCAATACTTTTATTGAATCACGACAGGTTGGATGCAAAGTCACAGGATGAAAGAGGCGCTGGAAGCCAGAGTCCTCCAATCGGGCAAGGCTGGGGCGCATGAGGCTCTGATCAGCGTGGTGCGAGAGAGGCTCACACGCTAGGGCGGTGTGCGAAGCAAAGTAGTCCTTGGTTCAGATGGGCCGATATTCCAACTCTCCAATGTGCATTCTAGGATGTGCTTGGATGAAAGCGGTAAGATTTCCTGCGGCAAACCGTGTCATGCTCCCTGACATCAAGAGCCTAGCATCCCCCTTTTTTTCCCGCACGATACTGACCCGGAGCTCAGATTTCGTTGAGCCGCAAGTGCACATTCGACTCAGGAGAAGGGGGCTTGAGGCTCCGCCGCCCTAAAGCTGCTGAGTTTCGTCGCGGCGAGCATGGGACGGTGAGAGACGTCCTGGACAACTTGTTGGGAATTCTCCACCGTCGTTCCGCCTTGCTTTCCCGTGGCCGAGGCCTGATGGAGGACACCGACGATGTTCGGGCCGTGGAAGCTGCGCACGGAGGCTATGTCAACCCCCAGATCCCCCCCTTCCTGCCTGCGATTTGGCCTAGTAGGGCGACGAGATTCAACCTTCTTTGCGATGGCAAAGCTGTGTTTGGTTGAGGTTTGTCCAACGCCTCAGGGCAAGGTTGGCCTCAATCTCAGGGACGTGGATATTGTTCAGACTCTCGGCGACGAAGCGCCAGCAAATCTATACATCCCTCCCACGGAAACTGCTTTCGCCTTGAGAAATTGCACACCGACTGCAAATGTGAGGCTTGATATCTGGCCCCGTTGGGCGGTTCGACATAGTGTCATTGGTATGGCATTGGTACAGGTTATGTGTCTTCGGGCAGTCAAGGATTCCAACCTTGAGGCTTTCCATTCGAATGTCATGACGCCTTTGCGACCAGTTTCAATCGCGAGATGGCCGAGAAAATATATAAAACAACTCGATGTCTTCATCGGCATAGTCTTTGAATGTTTAGATCATCAGTACACTGTCGAGGCAATTCAGAAGACTCTACTACAAGCTCAGAATCCAAGACTACCAAAGCACTACAAAAGATCGTCTCAACCCCCAGACCTCATCATGACCTGGAACTGCGTGGGTTCAGCCTATGCTCATGCATGATCCATACAAGTGTTTTAGCTGATGAAATATTACAGACCAACTGCGATAACGGCAGGAACCTGAGCTGCACTTACGATATTGTTTGCCCATACTGCATGCACAGTCGTTGAGACCGTCTCAAACCTCAGGCACGAGAGTATGGACTCGCTGGCGTTACCATTCACGCGCCGCCATACGTGAGTTCAATTAGTCACTTACCTTCCGACATTACAACTGACGAGATCCAGGTGCGGCAGTTTTCGGTTCCTACATGGCAGATGAACTGCGCCAACAAAACGTCAACACAGGCACTATGAGTCTCTCGAAGCCAATCTTCTCGCATGGCCATGTCGCGTCCGTCACACCCCCAAGCAGAAGAGGACTCGGCACAGCTTCGAATTATCATAGCAGGACCTTGCCATCATTTCTACTTTTTCTTTATTTCAGTTTTTGCTCACAGTTGGAAGGGGTTGAGTACTGTTAAGCTAGACACCTGCCCCGACCAGGACCTTCATCACTAGTGATCAGACACTCGTTGCCTTTTGATTTTGATAGACTTACCCAGTCTCGCTCCAGTGGACACCTGCAGGTTCAGTTCAGCTTCTGGGGAATAAAACAGTTTTTTTGCGCAACACTCGCATGTTTATTCGCCATGTCGGGTTATTAAGGGGCTTGGGACGTGTTTTCCCTGCTCACCGAGACCCACCGACGTTGAGACCCGTGACACACCTGCCTAAGGCAACCGTGGCTGAGCGGCTGCCTCTTGCTTGCTAGAAGAACCAATGCAGAGCGGAGGAAGTCCTTTGGAACCTTTTCTTCTTCGGTTGCACGACTGAAGAAGTTATACCGCCTTGGAAAGGAGCTTGTGACACGCGACTTGCTGTCGCCAACGAAGGAGGGCCCTTGGTTGCACACCCTCTAGCGGCACCTGATTGGTGAAGATTAACTTGGGTCTTCTGCCCCCCTCTCTTTCGTCATTGCTGGGATCGAAATGGTGTAAGCATGTTGAACTCAGGTACCAAAGGTAATGTTGTGTGCACAGTCGACAAGCAGTAAGAGTAAGCCATACGACGGCTTCGAGTGGATGGCGATGTCTCGCGTCTACCCTTTTCCTCCCTTGGTCATGCTCAAGCTCAGAAGCAAGTCGGCATTCAAATGTACAAGCAACCACCCCCCCCCCCCCCCTCCCACTCTCTTGCCCGGCGTATGCAAGTTGATGGGCTCGGAAATGCGAACGATTCTCGTTGTCAAGGCCAATCGAAAGTTCAAGACCAAGTGCCCATTTGCCTGCCGCTGACTGGGTGCCTAACGGTCCACGTCTAGGCCGCGGACAGCTTGGACGTTCTCTGGCCCACCGCCGTGGATGTTGTACACAAACATGCCCTGATGTTCAAATAATGACACAATATCAAGTCACAAAGCCATGCGGTGGTGTTATCACGTTTCTCTTGTATTTTCGGAAATGTCACTGGTCAAGCTTGGCCCCCCATCACCAATTTCGTCGGGGCGACAAACTGCCTCCCCCCGACGCTTGGCGAACCGAGTCCACCAGGCTTCTCAACACTCCCACACGCACGTGCTGCCAAAGGATGCGCCAACCGCTCCCGTCGCAATGCTGTGCTCGACCTGACCCCGGTGCGCAATGGAAGCATTCAAGTCCAATTTCTGCCCTTTCAAACAGTTACGACTGTCGTTTGCAAGTCGCAGCTCAGCCACGCCCGTGGAAGCTCTCCACGCCAATGAATTCTCCTTCGACCGTCCTTCAGGCTGAAGCAACTCCCGCGTAGCACAGCCTCTCCCCGTACTCCTCACTGATTTTTTCCTGAACCGTAGAGCCGCACAAAGTGCAACACAGCAAGCTCCCCGCCCTTTTCCCGTCCGGCGCGCGCGAGCGCACCTGACCACGCCCGAACCAAGTGGTGGCCAGGCGCAAGGAGTCTCCAACAAAGGCGGTGAGCGACACACGATCTCGGTCAAACACATGACAGCCAACCTCACAAGTCCGCTGCCCATGTCAGGGCGGGCGATATCAGGCTGGTGGAGAAGCAAAGCCTCAGAAAGACAGGTGAATCGCAATGATCGTCTGTGAAGGGCTCGCTGCCTTGCGAAGACGTGAGCCTCCCTCCACAGCTGTCGGTGCATGGTCATCACGTCCCATTGCATGTTTTACATCGTAGCCCCGGTCTGGGATGCGGTCCGCCTGTCTGTTCACATAGCCACTTCCTTGCGCCCTGTTCCTGTCGTTGCTGCTGTTGTTTAGCCGGTTAGTGACAGTCACGGTAGAACCCCACTGTAGACAGTCTAGGGAGTAATGCACATGCTCGTTGTTTCGGGCCACCTCTTCAATGCGGTGGAGATGAGAAAGAATATGTTGAATAAATGACAATCCTGGTAGAGCTACTGAGGGTACGTGCGGGTGCCCACTAGTTGTAAATGCACAATCGATATTACTCCATTCGCCTCTTGTAACCTACCGCAGGACAACCAAGGCCGGGCGCCATAGCAAAAACATCGGATCCTCAACTCCGCCGCTCCCGTCTTTCCGCGCCTCATCTCCTTCTCACTTGCAGCACAACCGTCACCTACGGAAAGCCTCAGGCCATCGAGGGGGACACGAGGGCAGTGATGCTGCTCGCCTCGGGGCTCACCAAGCGAATCTGCGATTTCACGCGCGGTAGATCCAGCGCTTTGCGGGGGGACTTGACAGCGCTTTTGAGACTCTTCGGAGTGGCCGGTCTCTTCGTTTTGTTCGGCGTCTTCAAGCTGCCCTTGTCGGCAGCCTTGATCTTGCTGCCTTCAGCTCTGGCTGCGATAATTGTCGCATTGGGTGACAAGGTCGTCTGCAGAAGGGAGTCGCGCTTCTTTGTCGCCTTGATGACACGGCCTGAGCTGGATGTGCGGACAGTAGTCACCTTGGAAGACGTTGTCTTCTTCGCGACAGGTGTTGACTTGGCGTTCACGGTAATCGTTGAGACACTCTTCTTCACCGTGGCGGCGCCTTTCGCTGCCGCCTGGACAACCTTGGTGCTGGCGTTGGAGAAGCTACGTTTTGCGCTCTGCTTCGTGCCCTTGTGAGATTTGATCTTTCGTTTCTTCGCCATCGCGTTGGCTGTGTCATCTCCGGCGAGCTCCTCAAGCTTGCGCTTCCCGAGCTTGACAACGCTTTTGACAGTCTCCTTCAGGTTCGCTTTCGGTGTCTGTGTCTTCGCCTTCAGCTTGGCAGGGCTCTTGAGGGCCTTTGCTGCAGATTTCGGGGTTGTGTTGGCGTCAGGTTTTGTAGCCCTGGCCTTCTTCTTCTTCTTCAGACCAGCCTTGCCGTCTGTTTTCTCAGCCTTGACCGGCTTGGGTCCCTTGGGTTTGGGACCCAGCACACCGCGACACTCCGCCTCGCCACACAGACAGGTTTGAACGTTCTTAGCGCTGAAAGGGTCGAAGTTGTAGTCGTAGGTCAATTCGTCGCCAGTCATGATGGGCGCGTCTCCCGCAAACAGTGCCATTCGCGGCTGGCCGCCCACGATCCACTTGATCATCTTGCAGTTTGGTTTGCAAGAGTGATTGACGAAGCGGGCGATGCTCCCAGTCGTGGCGTCAATGATCATGTTCTGATCGAAGCTCATGAGGTAGTAACACTAAGCCATAGGTTAGTTTTAGACACCTCGCGAAGAAATTTATCGGCGCGACTAACATCATTGTTCTTGTACTTTGTGTTCATCCGGTTCTCGCACTCTTCCTCGGTAATGATCTCTCCAGTGTACTCCATGATAATCTGGTTTGCGTCGAAGCATCGGTTGGACCGGATACCATGGCCGCGATCCGATGTCTTGATGACCTCGACGCCTGTGCGATATTTGCCGCCCGCAACTTTTCTCTCATGCAAATCGGCGAAGGCGCGGTTGGTGCAAAAAGCTTTACCGACGTTGCAGTTGTTCTCGTCGCACTCATACAACATGATACGGTTCTGGCAATCTTCGTCACAGCCGTCCTGCGGCTTGCAAACACACTTGGACTCGTCTGCAGAAGAATGTTGGTTCTTCTTCCAGTATAGACTAGATTCTCCCACAAAGCGATCTGCAAAACGTGTCAGTGATGCGTGCCGTGGAACAGGAGCGCGCAATACATACTCTTGGAGATCTTTGTCCAGTGCTCGGGCTTCGGCTGGCCCGGAGGCAAAGGGTTGCAAACGTCGAACGGAAGCTTGAAGTCTCGGCCGTTGATCAACGTCCTCAGTCCATTGAACATGGGCAAAGGCAGTGCCTTGTTCACGCGCCCGGACGCGGCCAGCTCCGGGATTTGTGCGAGTTTCTTCTTCTCCGCGAGGCCCAGACCCTCGTTCAGGTCAAGCGGCGTGTCCTGACCGGCATACAGGCCCTTGGCGAGCCAGCGCTTGACACGCCGTCCCTTGCGCGTATGAAGCTCGAGCGTCTCCTCACTCTTTTCGCCATCCTTCTTTGTCTCGTCCACCTTGGCCTTCTTTACTTCCGAGGGCGCCTTCGTCTTAGCCTTCTTCCGGGCAGGGCCATTTTCAAGCTCTTCGGGAGTAACCAGCTTGCCATTGGCCCAAATGGTGTGGAAAACAGGCTTCGTTTCTACTTTGGCAAACTCGTTCGTATCTCTAAGGCGGAGAAGTTCTCTGGAGACCTTGCCAATGCCCTGTTCAAAGGCCTTGCGCCCGCGCTTGCCGAGAGAGGTCGCTTTGGATGTAAGGATATCGACCTTGGCCGGGGCGTCGCGCGCTGAGGCTCGAGTCGTGCGGGGAGTGTCGGGCTTCTCCTGGGCCAACTTGCCAGGGGTCTTGAGGCCTTGCATAGACCATTGCAGATTCAGCGCGTCAATGCCGTCGCGTACGAGAGGGTCAGAGGAGCGCGGCGTGGTAGAGAGAGCGTCTCCGAGGCTGGCTCGCTTTCTGCGGCCATTCCCCTTTGCGGCGGTGCCGCTCAATTGGGAGAGGTTATAGACGGGATTGCTGACGCGTGCCCTCCGAGCACGCCCGGCTGCGGGCGGCTCTTGGGCGGCCGATGGCGCGTCAATCTGAGGCGTGTCATGGGGTGTGGCAGAGACCTCAGGCTGAGGCTCCGTGGCGACAATGACGGTCGCTTGAATCTCGGGTACAGGTGTAGTCTCGACCTTGATGCCTTCGGAGGCTATAGATATGTTGTCGGAGAAGTTGGTAGGTGGTGTTGAGCTGAGAGACGCGACATGCGAGGAGGATTCGAGGCCGAGGGCCACAGCGCCAAGGCTGCTCTGGCTCGACGGCGAGAGAGACATGGCGAGGCGATTCGCGCGACGCTACAAGTCGACGCGTTATGTGGAGTTGGTGGAGGCCAGGAAAGTTGGGCGCGCCTCGTGAGACGATTTCGACGCGTAAATAGTGCTATGCTCGGCAAATGGGGGTTGAGGGGCTGTCAAAGAAGACGCGAAATGGAAAAGGAGAAAAGACGTATGGTCGCAAGCTCAAGAGGAGAGAAAGATATGTGAGATTCGATCTAGTGCAGGAAAGAGATCGACGAAGGATTGGTACTGCAGGAGAAATGCAAAAGGTTGCGTGCTGATGGTGACAGAGATGTGAGGGAGGAGAGAGGGAGGTGTGGAAAGTAAGGTCGGTCGCCTGCACGCCGGCGCGTGTATGGCAGGAGGAGGAGGAGGAGCAGTAACAGTAGCGCAGCGTGGCGGAGGAGGAATTGGAGGCGATGTACCCAAGTACCTACCTACCTGCCAAAACGTCTGGCAGGGAAGGTGGTGGAGGCAGGTGCAGGTGCAAGTGGAGGCGGAGGCGCGGTCCAAGTGCTGGGAAATGCCAGAGGGGGAAGGGGAGGAGGATGGAAGGAAGGAACAAACCAACACAAGCTCCAGGGTCGGTCCTGGACTCCTCCCTAAGGGTAGGTCCGTTCAGGAGGTCCGTTCAGGAGACGGAGAACGGAAAGCCCCGCAGCAGTGGTCGTATCGCCTTGAGAGCCCGCAACTTCCAAGGTGATCAATCCCCTGTTGACGAAAACTACTTAAGGTCGGGCAGGCCAGGGGGGTGGCGGCGGGGGGCGATTCCAGAGGACAGAGGTGATTGTCGCCAGCTTGAGTACGCACACAGCTGTGGCCTTGCAGTTGCCGTCGTTGCTGTCCTTTGTCGTTGCACAATCTTCCAAGCGCAGCGCGGCTATAGAAATGTGTGCGCGTCCAAAGTCGAATCGTCTTGCCACTGGCTTTGGACCATGTAATGTGGTCGAGACCGGGCCGTCAAAGGAAGGACGCCACTAATCCAAGCCGAACAGAGCTGCGCTGCGCTGAGCTGAGCGAATGTGCTCTTGTGCTGAGGAATGGGGGTAAGGTGTGAGATGAAGGAGAAAGCATGGGAAATTGATCGGAGCGGCTGGATGGGGTTTGGTAGGTCAGACAAGGTAAGTATGAGCGCGCGATTCACGTGCACCTCGTCAGCTTCTTGTCTCTGCCGTTCCCCCTCCTCTCCCCAGGGAAGGCAACACTGTCGTCAGTATTAAGGCTAAGGAGCGCGTGCCGTCATTGGATGTGCGAACGGCGTTGAAGTAACGCCGGCCCAGTACATGAGTATAAGGCTCGGAACGAGAGGTGCGAAATCCAAGGGCAACAGGTTGACAGCGCAAGCAAGGCCAATGCGATGCGTCCACTGCAGAAGCGATCAGCGGGACTGACTTTGAGGAGGTTCAGGTTCATCAAGGCCACATCTCTGGCTACCTTGCGCCCGCAAGTTCAAGGCCGCAGTTTCGAGGCCCGACGTCCTGGACCGATACCACCTCCTCAACGCCCCGAGTACGACGCCGTGCTCAGAATGGGCGCTTTCCACACGAAGCCGACTCGGTCTTTGGGCTCATACCAGCTCTGTGTCCTTGTCCTCTTTCGCTCGCCTCTCTCCACTACGGCTGACGAGCTGAGGCGCGACGGCGGCCGCCAACCCTGGGCTTGACACTTCCAGCCTCTGATGATCCTCAGAGGACACAAGGGCCCTCGTGAGCGCTCAGCGTGCCATTCAAGGTCGCACCTGAGTGCACAGCACGTCAATTCGACCTGTCCATCCTTGACCCATCTCGCGACAACATGAAGCCAGCCTGTGGCTGCCAACATTAGTGGTGGTGGCATTGAAAAGGTTGCGGCCTTGGGAGGGCGAGGCTGCCAGGTTCCTTCAAGTCTCGTTCCAGGTGTGTGCTCTGCTAGAACTGATGCTGCTGCGTATCGACCAATCTCTGGCTTTCGCTCATCGGCCTCCTAACCCCAGCTTTCCCGCGACAAAAACAACAATCTTTCTCGCGCCAAAAGACCCATGTACTGCTTGCTACCTTACCTTGAGATGCCACGCGATCCCACCCAGACAGAAATTCCATCCTTTCACGTCGTGCGATCCCTTGGTCTTGACACGTCGAGGCCTCGCAAGCATGGATGCAAGGAAGAAATTCTGATTCATGTTTCCTGCCTAGAGTAACACTGTCTATGTACTTCATGCGTCGAAAACCGCCATCTACTCTACTTGCTTGAGTACGGAAGCGGCCGAAGCTCTGAATCACAAGTGATGGCAGCAGCAGAAAGGAGGTCAACTCGTCGTCGAAACACGAATTGTGAAGCGGCGACGTAATAAAGACCACGTGTCCATGACCTTAAACTCAAACCTAAGGACTGTCAGAAGCCACCGCAGTGGCTGTGTGCGCAGTCAGCTCCTTGGCCTTCGCCTGGGCCCCTTTGCGAGCAGGTGGTACAATCACCCTGACGCTTTTAACATCTTCTTCTGCGATGTTCTCATCTGAGATTTCAGTGAGGAGAAACTGGACAGTCCGGCCATCATGCACACTGCTAGTGTTTCCGCCGAACTCTGTTGGAAGAGAGAAGCCGTAACGCTGACGGTCTGCTGGATCCGGGAATAGCTTGAGAAGAACGTCCTTACGCTTGAGAGAGGATTTGAACTCGACTCTACCAAGGCTGAGCAGCTTGGGACGCAAAAGCTCAGGAACCAAAGTATTCAGCAACTTGATGCGAAACGTATTGACATGGCCCAGTCGCACGAAATGATGGTAGGCCAGGAGTTCAGGATAGTTGGCCTGGAAGATGTCGATTGTCTCGGCGATCGCATCTTTGATCTTAGGGTACACGGTAAATGGGTTCGACCCGGCACAGTCGTGGACCTGGATGATGCGATATGGGTCTGGGCCGATTTCGGGCATTGGGGCTGGTGCGTTTGAAAGGTCCAGCTCTCGGACAGCCAGCTCCATGAGGGCAATCCGGAAGTCGAGAAATCTGGAAGGAGTCAACAAACATCCACAGCGACAATGAAACAATCCTGAAGCAAGACGCGAGGTATAGAACATGATATTACTTACTCGGCAATGTCTCCAAAGGTTGCTTGAACGTCCCTGATGACACCATAGAGATTCCACATGAAGACGACCCGGCCGCCACCCTCGTCAGTACGGTGTCGAGAAACAAATCCCATCTCGCCGAACTTCTTGGGATCGAACATCTTTGTGAGCTTGCCGGATGGATCATTAAACTTCCTCCACTTCAGAGCTTGAGTGAAGTGCTCAAGTGCCATGTCAACATTGTCATCGGCGACACGAAGAAACTTCTTGAGCACGATGCTGGCTGTAGTGTTGCGCTGTCTGGTATTGACGTTGGCGAAGGAAATACCCTACATCTCGCTGTGGCCTACTTCGTGGACAACTCTGGGAATGCCGCTATACATGCGGGAGAGGGGTGAGTTGTCAGTCGAGGACACAACCTGCGAGGTCGACTTTGCCTTCCTGAGCAAGGACATGGCGTCGGCTTCGTGTGACCTGAGGTCGAGTCTGTCTTGTTGTGTAGTCTTACTGATGTGGTTGTGTAATGAGGTTCGCCAGAAGAGCTGAAAGCACACAATTGTCCTTGATCTTGTGCAAGCGAGGCAAGGACTGCTATTTGCGATCAAGAATGGACGACAAATACAAAAATGCGCACCAATACTGCTTATGCGTGTAGCAGTAAGAAGCACGGGGTTGGGAGGACATATGCGATACCAGGCTGCGAGAGCTGAATCGTAGCCTGATCCCGGCCAAACATGGCCATGTCAAGAAGAGCCGAGACGGACGCCTGCGGGAGCAACTGCGACTCTCACAAACGCCTTCCAGACCGATTGCCATCCTTTGCAGGCTCCCTACGTCGTTTGTCGAAAGGTGGAGCACCTAGTGACATGGTCCCTTGTCGCAGCGCATTGCATTTAACAGGCGCATGCGTCATCAACTAAAGGTCAAGACATGCGGGCTTTCAAGCAATAAGATCCTTACTACTTTTTCCTTGTGGTATTCGTGTGCATCTGTAGTGGCATGAATGTTGCGACTGCGGGAATGGAAGAACAGTGGAGGATTAGGGGATCCAGGAGGGGGCGCCAGGGGGGGATGGGGTGTACTGTTACCACATCGAGTTAGGATCAGAATCAGTCCGGTCCATGTTCCCGGGCTTCAGAACGCCAGCTAGGGCAGCCCCCCCCCCTGTTGACCTCGTGCGGGCTCCAGTGCCATGCTGCCTGCCGACCCGCTGACCCGCTGTGACGCGACGGAAGCTTCCGAGCGGCCCAGCGCCCATCGTTCCTGCAGAACATTGTCAGATTGGATTGGGCAGGCGACACTCAGCGGCCCGCGCTCTGCCACCAGAACCAGGGCGTTGGGGCCAACGAAAAAAGGGGAAGAGGGGGAAGGGGACTAAGCAAGGCCGAAAGGACACAACTCCAACTGCTGACATAATGGAATGCTCTTGCCTCTTTCAGCCTCAACTCCACTACTTGCCATCACAGACCTTAGTTCAACCTCGTGCAGTTGAAATTGGCCACAGAACCATGTTAATCCTGCCAGCACTTTCATCGAAGTCAAATGAACCAAATTCTCATTGTTGTTTCGGGAAGTCTTGCTCATCTCCGACGGCAGAGTAAGCCAAACTGCCGCCTGGTCCGGACCTCCCGATCTGGCATTATGCTGCTGTTCTCGCAAGCCCAAAGATGCTCACACTGAGCTATCGACAATCCCATTCTTCATGCATACCCTCTCCCGCCTGCGCAAAGCGGCAGTGACCAACTAAAAAGACCACGTCCTCGCATAGTATTTAATGCGTCTGGCTCGGTCATCTGCTTCTTCATGACTGCCACACACAACAAGCTGCCTCTGTCTATGCCCAGCCCAATCTTTCTGGTTGTCGTGCGAACCCGAAACAAACTGCGCATCCGAGAGGCTGCGGTCCCAAGTGGTATCAGCCGTCAAGTGCACGGCGAATTATCTGCTCAATGGCCATCATCTCAGCACGGGCGCAGGCGCCCAGAGTCATCTGGTCGGTCAAAGCGCCAAAGGGACGCTGGATCTCGGCCCACATGTAGCCAAAGTATCCATCAGTGTAGCCAGCTAAGCGCTCCAGCTCAGCTCGGTGGCCGATGGGGAGGGCGGCGACGGTGCGGTTCGTCTCCTCACGAATAAGAGCAATGTACCACTGGTTACTCGTTAATCACTTGTCTTGTCCAGCCGCGCTTGCCAGAACGAAACACGACTTACCTCGAGCACGTCCAGCGGCACGTCAGGCTTCGGGCTCAGTGCGTAGAGATGGCACCAAGAATCAGCAAAACGAGGTTGCCCGTGCGATCGTGACTGCATGGAGTCCATCTCGACAATGTAGGCAATGTCATCCTTCTGAAGAGGGGTAAACCCCGCGCAGGTCATGGCGCTGAGCACCAGCCGTTTCAGCAGCTGCGATGTAAGATTCACCTCGTCGACATGGTTGCGGACTTTAAAGAACAAGATGCGCACGAGTTCCACAGTAGCTCGATGGATGGCCGCGCGCTGGCGCACCGTGATGAAGTCGTGGCAGTCCCAAGGAAGCTTCTTCAGCGTGCTGATGAGGCACTCGAACGCACGCTGAGGGCATTCCTTGGCGAAGGGAGACTGGATCTGATCAGTGAGATGCACCACAAACAAAGGACTGCTCCTGACTTACTCTATTGGGCATCTCGACATGCTTGACGAGCATGATCATCTCCTCCTCTGTCACAAAGCCCGTGAACTGACCATAGGGAGCGCCATCTTTGCGGCGGCCTGTCATGTGCGGATGAATGCCCTCCCAGCGAAGTCCGGAAGCAAAAGGAAACAGGTCCTTCATGAGAGAACTCTGGCTTGAGAGCTCAACGCTGATGGGGCGGTCTCCCAGGCGACCTACCTTGCCCTTGCTAAAGTTCAGAACGAAGCGATCGACAGCAGAAACGGCGTCGGCCATGGTCTGAAATTCGACATAGGCGTCGTTAGTCTTGCTCGAAACCCTGTCCATGATAATATGCACAGGCTCTTCAAAGTCGTTGAGGATTTTTGAATTGCGGCCAAGGAAGGCAATGACTTCGGCACGAGTGGTAATGAAGGGAATCTGTAAGACGCATTAGGGAAACTTTCTAGTGAGAGGTCAGTGACATTGACTTACGTTGAGCAACTTAACCACGCCACGATCAGGAACTCTGGGTTGTTCAGCAGTCACGATGAATGGGAAGTTCGCAGTGGCCAAAGCGACCGCGGCGCTGGGGAGGCCATTGCAGCTGTTCGTGAGGTTATTGAGACCAACGGAACGCTGTTGTCTGATATCTTCCAGCATTGGCTGGACAGTGATCGACTGGAAATTGTCAGGATGACCAGTTGAGTGGTTCGCAAGGACGAGGCTGGTGCGAATAGTAGGGCTTGAAAAAGGGTCGTGCTCGACCTGGACGCTCTCGACGGAGCCATTACCTTGGACCGAGTCAAGGTTGAATCGAGGGGGAGGGGCTGTAACACCACGCAAACCAACAGTCTGGGGACCAGTGATGCGGTTCTCAGAAGCCGGGGGGGCTTGATATCCGGTGGGGACTTTGTAGATAGTGTTCAAGCCTGCAGAACGAGTAGTGCAAGGAGTATCCTGAGATTGCAAGGACCGAGCTCGGATAGGGGTCGGAGTCATGTCAAGGTCAATGATGCCAGCTGAATGGCTGGTGACAAGGCCGCCTCGTTGAGTCGGCTGAGAGAAGCCGTAAGGGAAAGGCAACGAGATCTTACCGGCAGTTCCGTCCTTGTTGCTGTAGGAATGTTTCAAAGGGCTTCCAGCAAGCGATGGTAGTCCAATGTTGTGAACCGTCTCTCCCATGAAGCCGGTCCGGTCAATGTACCTATCGGTGCCATCAGAACCAAAAATATCGGGCGCCTCGATGCCAGGCTGTGAGTTCATCACTCCATGAGCTGGTTCAAATGGACGGATGGGGGGCGGGAAGCCAGAAGGGCCTCCAAGGCCAACAATGTGGCCTGGGACATGAGTACCAGAGATAGTGCTAGAGACACCGGCAGTGTCAAGAAGATTCTCTTGAGGGATCACCATGCCGCTGGGATCGTACAAGGTCCGGTAGAGGGGTTCGACCATCTCCGCATCTTGCTGATGTTCATTATGCACGACGGCAGCTTCTTGGCCGACTTGCTGACCGAAATGAGTGCGGGATTGCATGTTACCGACATACTCAGTCGTTTTCAGGGGCTCCTGAATGATCTTTTTAGTTGATAGTCTGAAAAGCGGAGATGGTCATCGTGATGCAACTTACTGACTGATGCAAGTTGTAAGAATTATGAAAGCCATGAAGGGCCTGCTGAGAAATAGTAGGCATGCCTTCAGGAACCAAAGCTGGGGTCCAAGGGGCACTATCGGGGTTAAGAGAAGAGTTACTGCGCATGCTGGTATTGGGTTGTTCAGCAACGGCAGGAGCCTTGGTATCAGGCTTCTGGCTGCCCTGGGACGACTGGAACTGATTCGAGCTCATTATTACGACTCAGTTCCGGGTTAAACCGAACCCCAAGCCTGGTGGATATTGATCATTGTCAGTTCGTGCATACATGTTGGGAGGAAAACAAGGTAACTCTGGCCGCCTACGGTTGTGCTTGAGGGAAAGAGTACTCACAGGCCTGTCGTTTCTGCGCAATTCAAGACCGCAAGAAGGAGACTGGTTCTAGGTTAGAAGCCTTTCTGTAAACCACTCGTATTGGTAGTTGCGGCCGCGATAAAGCGCCAGAAGGCTCTGCAGCGGTATGCAGCGATTCACGGTCCGGGCGCAAACGCTCCGCGGTTGTGATTAAGAGATGGTTGCAAACTTTGGGAACCTAGTTTGTTCTGAGGAAGGTTAGTTCAGGCAACGCTCGTTTTGAGAAAGGAAGGCATGCAACTTGAGAACTGCAGGTGAAAAAAGCCCAACTAAATCTGACCGCGTATGCGCGCAAACAAGAACAGTAGTGAATGTAGGAAGGGGCCTCAGGCTTCTTCTCAGACGTGGCGTCCAATTTTAGTATACAACAGCGGAGTACTGAATAAGAAACTTACTGAGGATTCGCCTCGAGCCTGCAATTCCGAGCCACAGCTCTCAGGTGAGTTCGCCTGCCGATAGCCTGCACTATGCGCGAGACGGCGAAGTTCAAGTTATTAGCAACTGGGATAAGAGGTCCAAGGAGGAAGGTGCATAGTGGCTTGAAAGGCACTATTCCTCTATGGCTGTGAATCAGAGAGCAATTCCACGAAAGCCTCAGGTGGGTTCGTGAGGGCAACCGCGAATAGGAGAATCCCTGTCTTTAATTACGGGCGAAAGTCTGGAGTTGACCAGAAGCCAATTGAATTGGAGTCTCAAGAGTTGTCACACTGACGATACCTCCTTCTCTTCTTATGTTGTGCAATTTGGTTGTTCGAAAGGTCGACGTGATCACGGACATGAATGCAAAAAGCACTGCCTTAGGTTGCACTAGAATTGTACCCTTGACCTTGCCAGGACTACAGCAACCTCGACAACCTACCACGAAATCACGCGATGCTTTCAAAAAAGAAAAGCAGGCCGGAGTAACACGGTACCATCTTCTTTTGGTGAAATAACTCCGTCCCCAATCTATGACAGGGCTTTTGGATCGCTTTGTGATTTGGATTGCTAGGCGGGATGCCGAACTCTTCTCATGGGAAATAGCTGATTGCGATGCGCCGGGATGGCGGTCCTTCCGTATCCCAACCCGGTAATGAATCGCCAAAGAAGGACGAGCCTTCTTGGCTATTGCAAGACTAACAACAGGCAAGGTTTTGAGGGCGCATGTTTAGAACAAGCATATTGAGAATTTAATCAAACTGCAATGCATCGAATCAGACACCGTCTTACAGTATTTCGTTGGAAGAGAAAACTTACAGGCGTCAGGAAGGACTCGGCGACAAATCTCGCACGAGCGTTCAACTGAGTGATCGTCAGCCACGAAAATAAAGGGGCGGTAAAAGTAGGATGCCGCAACATACGAAAAGCTTCATCTCGGAGATCTCCTTATCCACTTCCTCCATAAATTGGATGATAAAGTCTACCAACTTGTGTTTGAGCATCTCTTCGGTATGGAAGTTTGTAATGAGGAACGAGATGTCATAACCCTAAGCCGAGTTAGTAATATGTCAGAGCGACGACAAGCGGCTCTACGCGCGTCTGCCACCAGGATGAACCAACCTTGATCGCCTTCCTCCTCAAGATAAAGAACGACTCGGCTCGTTGCGTCAAAAAGCGCGTAAACTTGTGGACCAGGATGTGCTCGATCTCGTCTGCCTGCTTAATCTTGATTGATATACGTATGGAGTTGATGCTGGGCTCGATTAAGACCCTTTCGTTCTCGTTACGGGCGATCGTCAGCGGTGTCAGGAGGACCTCTGGGGACGTTTGGGCCTCAATCTCGGGAACATTGTGGCGCTCGGCAGTCTGGGAGGCGAAGTTGGAGAGGGTGAGAGCAGATGTCAGGCTGCTTCGGACAGCCTGGAGGTAGGGGCGGAGAGACTGAGACTAGGAGCGGCATGTCAGCAGGAGGCTTCATGAAAGATTCGGCAGCTGTATCTCGTGAAGCGCACCATGATTATTATCGACAGAGGTCTGCCACAGCTCGAGTATCTTTGGGAAGTCGTCGTCGGTCGAGCCCGCGGGGTTCGTGAAGTCGGGGCGGCTGGAGGCACTGACGTCTCACAGTGGGGCAGCATGACAGCACGGCGGCGAGCTCGAGATGTGGAATCACATACAGGAGGCGCAGGCACTGAGGCACGTGACCTTGCTGACTGTCCCCCCTCCAGATGGATTCCTTGAGCTTCGGCGGCCCCGCAGATCCCCCGCCACCAGCGCAAGGGCGACGAACCCCCACCACGCAGACCGCCCACCACGAAGAAACCTAGGAAGTGGCCAGGGGCAGTGAGCTGATAGGTAGCAGGTACTTTGGTGCCCCGCAAACAAACCGCCGGTTGCCTTGTACTACGAGGCATTGGACCCTCCTCCAGGCGACGGGCGGTGACGCACCTGGAAAGTTGCCTCCCGCCTGCAGACTTTCCCATCCACAACCTTCATCAACCGCATTGGAATCGCATTCCTCGTGAAACCTTGTTAGGCAAACCATCTGCCAGCTCTATAATACGACGTTACCTCCTCAGACTCAAATAGCACTCCATCGACAGCTACTGGTGCCTGTTACCACGCCCCATATACCGAACCGCCAACATGGCCACCATACCCAGTGAGTGTACTCCAAGCGAGTCTATTCTGCTTTCTTTGCATGTATTGACATGAGTGCCGCTCAGTTGTCGTCAAACACTCTGGCAAAAAATACGACGTTGAGGTCGATACCACTGCCAATGGAGAGACTCTGAAATACCAGCTCTACAGTCTGACGGGCGTCGAGCCTGAACGCCAGAAGATCCTCGTCCGGGGTGGACCCCTCAAGGATGAAGCCGACATGTCGAAGCTAGCCTTCAAGCCCGGCCAGATCATCATGATGATGGGCTCGCCCGCCGATGGCAGTGCTACCCTCACTCGACCTAAAGAGGCTATCAAGTTTGTCGAGGACATGACCGAAGCAGAGGCCGCACAGCAAGAGGGCGCAACTCCAGCTGGCCTTATCAACCTTGGGAACACCTGCTACCTCAACTCGACTCTCCAGACCCTTCGGTCGATCCCCGAGCTCCAACAGAGCCTGACTACATACAAGGCCAAGGGCCCAACCCCTCGCCCTGTCCAGGGCTCTCTTGGCCTGCAGCCCGTCTCGCAGGCTGACCTGGCTACACCTCTTGTCGACCTGTACAAGATGATGGCGGAGACCCAGGACAGCGTGGCGCCCCACACATTTCTGACCGTGCTGCGTTCCGTGTATCCCCAGTTCGCCGAAAAATCTAAGCAAGGCAATGGCTTTGCTCAGCAGGACGCCGAAGAGGCATGGTCGCAGATTGTGAGCCAACTCAAGCAGCGCCTGGGTGAAGGAAAGGATTCTTCCTTCATCGACAAGTACATGGCCGGAGCAATGACATCGACACTCGAAGCCGATGAGCAGGATGCTAGAGACGGCGGCGAGGAAACAAGCAAGTCAACCGAGACTTTCTTCAAGCTGAACTGTCACATTGACGGCACAATCAATCACCTTCGGGACGGCATTGCGGCGGGCCTCACGGAAAAGATTGAGAAGAGATCGGCGGTACTCGACCGTGACACGAACTTTACCAAGAAGTCACAGATCTCGCGGCTGCCAAAGTACTTGACGGTCCATTTTGTCCGTTTCTTCTGGCGCCGTGATACTCAAAAGAAGGCGAAGATCATGCGAAAGGTTGTGTTCCCACACGAGCTTGATGCTGTTGAGTTCTGCAACGACGAACTCAAGTCGATGCTCATTCCCGTCCGCGACAAGGTTCGCGAGATCCGCAAGGATGAGGAGGATGTGCAGCGGGCTCGCAAGAGGCGCAAGATTAATGCCAACGATCGCGGCGACGTTGCTGGGTCCTCTGGCGCCCCACAGGAGAAGACGGCACTGGAGAAGGCCAACGAAAAGAAGGCGCCCGTGAGCCAGCTGCCCAAGGTGTCGGGCGACGGCGACACAGAGATGACAGAGACTTACAAGACGGATGCCGAGTTTGACGCGGAGCGCGATGCATCTCTCCTGACGCTCAAGAAGGAGCTGGACGGACTCATCAACCCGGCCCTCAGGCAAGACGAGGGTGCCAACCAGTCGGGCTTGTACGAACTCCGTGGTGTGGTGACGCACCAGGGCTCGAGCGCGGACAGCGGTCATTACACAGCGTACGTCAAGAAGGAGGGTCGTGTTGATCCCAAGACAGGCAAGCGGGGTGAGGAGGACGGCAACTGGTGGTGGTTCAACGACGACAAGGTCAGCGAGGTGCCATCGACATCCATCGATGCCCTGGCGGGTGGTGGCGAGTCTCACTCTGCGCTCATCCTGTTGTACAAGGCCATTCCCCTGCCGACAGCAGAGGAGCCGAGCAGCTAAAGTAGAAGCACGGAAACATCCTCCTTGACTGGGCCTCTGGGTTCCAGGCTGATCGGACTCTGCTCAAATGGGCGTTGCACACTTGAGACAGTATTGGCCCGGTTTTAGGGTCATGGGATGCATACCATCTGAAGAGTGTGCTGCCTTTTGTCTCTAATTAATTAGTCTATGCTACAGAATTTACGTGCGACTGTGTGCCTCTATTCCCCGTGCCATTGCTCCGAGCTACTATGGAATGGATTCGCGCAACAGGGCGGCACCACACGCCAAGCCTCGCGCCGTACACTGCCCGGCAGCTGCCTAACCGCGACGCGGCACTTGGTGTAGAGCTCAGACTGGAGCGTCCCTGGGAGTCGAGATGCCCCTTGATCTGCTCCGGAGCTGATGTTATAGTAATTCTGGACGCATCCCATTCACTCAGATGCGCAGCTGATCCTGCTCAGAGAGGTTGTCAGAGAGAGCCCTGAGGCGGGTATGGGTGCGGAAAGTTTGTCGTGACAATCGTCGAATCGCACGTTGCTATCTTGCCGGCTCGGACGCCTCCTTTGCAGCCTTGGCGTCTCTTTCGCGGACCCTGGCCTCAAACGCGGCGAGCTTGTTCGTCAGGGCAGCGCGTTGCTCGACAAGGCCCTGCCGCTGGGACTCGAGGACGGAGATTTGCTCGCTGAGGGGGGACTGGCGGAACTGGCCGCGCTTCTGTGGAGGCCAGGGGAGTCAGTCGGGAGGGTGCGCAGAGGACGTGCCACGGAGACGGGGGCGCAGTACATACCTCTGTCCATTCTTGCTGCGTCTTGATGCCGGCGCCGTAGATGGCGCCGGTGAAGACGACGGCAGCGAAACAGGCGGCGATGACGCCGGCGCGGACCTTGCGGGCACCGGGGGTCGCCATTGTGTGGGGGTGGGAGCGGAACGATAGATAGGCTGACCGAGTTGGGCAGTCACCAGTAGTCACGCCAGACTGACTGGGCTTCCTGGCTCTTGACGGAAGAGGTGCTGGTGTTGCTGGTGGTGGACGAGGTGCTCGAGTTCGAGCAAAGACTGGTGGCGGAGCTGGTGCGGGTGTGGTTGTGGGGTCTCGATCGCAGGTTGGCGAACGGCGTCAACGGGCTCTCTTTGGCGGTCAATGTGGACGCAGAGGTCGAACGCCAGGGCTGGAGCTCAATGTCGTTCGCGGTCGAGGTTGAGCTGGACACGGCGGCAGAGGCAGGGTCGGCGACGGCGATCGACGCGTTGCTGCTCCTGTTGGTGCCAAGACCGGGAGCGGAGCGGGACAGCACCCACGCTTGCCACGGCGGCGTCGAGGTCCAGCTCCAGCTCCAGCTCCAGTGGCTTAGTAATTGGCCTTGCCCTCCGCTCTTGCCGTCCATTTCTGGGAAGCGTCGATGGGTTCGTGTTGTGAGGGAAACCTTGGGAAAGAACGATCGAGGCGTACTTGTTTGCTTTTTCAATTCTCTGGAACGAAGCAGACTCGTCGTTTGAGGGCACATCAAGCCCTTTTTGTTGATGAACACATTGTCCCATCTTCTCCTCCTCTCCCTCTCTCTCTGTCTCGTCAGCTCTCCGTCCTGGCGCACGTTCAAAGTTTCGCCATTGCGCCCAAACCTGCCTTCGGCTTGTTGAAACACAAGAACGCACGAGCGCCCGCTGTGAGCGCGACAGAGTGAGTATGGCCTCTACTATTAGGATAGAACCGTCTCTTGCGGCCTGAAACACGTCACGACGGAAGTACGGCACCGGCAGACGAGATGAATTGGCCTTCAGTCATCGTCGTATTTCCGTGCCCACTGTCAATCAACTAGTCGTCCTACATGGTCCCCCAAATCCATTGACCATCACGTCATGGCGGATCACGCTGCGGGGATGCATCGCTCAGAGCGTATCGGTCTGCACCTGCACCAGATGGATAACCCGAACATGAATATGATCAAGATTGAGGCTCGCAGACGGAACACTTCCTGTCGTCTTGGACCACGATTCTTGAGACTGTGGCACTAATTCTGGCTCAGCATCTCTCCCCTCAACAAACCCAGTACCCCGCCATGGCGCCCCGCGTCTTCATCATCCGCCACGGCGAGACAGAGTGGTCTCTGAATGGCCGTCACACGGGCACGACCGACATCCCGCTGACTGCCAATGGCGAAAAACGTATTCAGGCGACGGGCCGCGCTCTCGTCGGACGCGACCGCCTCATCGTTCCCCGTCAGCTCGCTCACATTTACGTCTCCCCGCGGAAGCGGGCCCAGCGCACCTTTGAGCTCCTCAACCTTGGTTTGCGCAACCCGCTTCCGTGGCAGGCCCACGGTGAGCCAGCCGCCGACGGCGCTGATGGCGACGGCGCCGGCACGAGCCGCTCCTGCGACGCCCAAGTTCAGGTCACACACGACATTCGCGAGTGGGATTATGGCGACTATGAAGGCATCACAAGCCCCGAGATTCGTCGCCTGCGGAAGGAGCAGGGGCTTTCCGAAGGCTGGGATATCTGGCGTGACGGCTGTCCCGGTGGCGAGTAAGTTTCCTGGCGGCCCAGATGCCCATGCACAAGAACCGCACCTCTTTTCTTAACTTTTTCCCCGCAAGGCAAGTGTGCTGATCGAACAAACAGGAGTCCTGAGCAAGTCACTGAGCGCCTGGATCGTCTGATTCAAGACATCCGCGACCGCTGGCAGGCCCCCGTGCTTGAAAAGGGAGCCGACGCCGCGAGCAGCACAGGCGACGTTCTCGTTGTCGCCCACGGCCACATTCTGCGCGCCTTTGCGCTGCGGTGGGCCGGCAAGGCACTGCACGAGGGGCCGGCGTTTGTGTTGGAGGCTGGTGGCGTGGGGACTTTGAGGTGGGTTGCGGAACCTGGAGGCACAACTTTTCGCGGTCGGTCCGCTAACACTGTCTGCAGCTACGAGCACCAGAACATTGACGAGCCCGCTATTCTCCTGGGCGGCGCCTTCGTTGTCGATATCTCCGAGAAGGCTGCGGTTCACAAGTGAGCCGGGGTGCCAGAATGTGCAATCAGGAAATTGGGACTATAGAGAAAGATCTCGCACGTTGGCTTACTGAGAATAGACTAACTAACTCGACGCCTCTATTCGATGTAGCCTCACTGGCAGCCTGTCGGCTGTTGACATTGTCCATCCGCATGTTTCGAGTTGAAGATGATATGCTGCTGTCCGTCCCTGCATGTTCCCGCCATTGCCTCTACGTTTATGCCTTGGTGCCCCGAGCCATGAAGACACGCCGCTTTCGGTCCTCATCTGCGCCGTGGAACACGACGCCGCTACCGACCTCCTGCAGCGCGTAATTCGTCCCGGCGCCGGCACCCTCGAACATGGCCCGCATGCGCTCTTCCGAGAAGCCGTGGTGCATGACGCCGTTGGCCGGACGTTCCGTGGCTGCCTTGGCAGGCTTGCCATGGTGATGGGCATGCTCGTGGTCGTGACCATGACCATTACCGTGACCGTGACCATGGCCATGCTTGCCGTCATGCGCGTGCCCGTGGTCGCCGTGCTCGAAAAAGTCAATGATCAGCAGCACGCCATCGGGCTTGAGGCGCGCCACGAGCTGTTTGGCGGCGTACTCCGGATCGTCGAAGTGATGGAAACCGAGACCCACAACGGCGAGGTCGAAACCGGAGAAGTCAGCACCCGCGAGGGCTGTAGGGCTAGGATCCGATGGATCTATCAGGTTGCCGTGGTAGGCTCGCATCTCGTTGGCAGAGAGGCCCTGTTGGCGCATCACACCATGACGGATCAGTCTGGGCCTGGGACGACAGGAGAGGGGGGGGGGGGATCTCGGGAAGAGTATTCTGCGGCGAGCAGGGTGAACAGAGGGCTGGAGGTGGGCGGAACAGAGTGATTTGATTGTGCCTAGAGGGTACATTACGAACCTGGTTCTCGGCTCTGGCGTTGAACGCCGCCACCATCTTCTCCGAGACATCGATGCCTACACATTGCGTAGTGTATTGGGCGAGGGCCTGTGAACGTATACGGGTCAGAGCCGTACATTGCTTGAGTAAACGGCATCCCCGGGGAATGACGCCACGGGCTCGCGAGAAAAGGGAGAACAAGGAGGAAAGACGCTTCTTGTCAGAGCGAGCACGTACCCTCGACACAAGTCCGGTGCCACAAGCATAGTCGAGCAGTTTGACCGTCTTGCCAGCGCCAACAGACGACTCGGTCGTATCGCCATTGTCATCTTCGTCATCACTGTCCTCCTGAACCCAGTCAATGCCGATGAAGTCTCGGCGTTTCTGGATCTCCTTGACGAGCTGACTGATGGTCTTCTCGAAGCGGCGGTCATACTCGGACGCTAGTCCGCTAGATGGAGAAAAGAGAAGACGTGTCAGCAGCTCAAGCACCACAACGTAGAGTAGGATCGATGGTGACACGGCGCCGTTGACACGCCGCATTTTCGTCATGACTGCCACAAGCCAGCGACCACCCGACGAAGTGGGATTGGGGGGACGAGGCAGCAGAGAAGGAGGACGAGACTGCTGTAGGAACCCGGCCTCACGGAGGGAGAAGCATCGCGTCACCGGGCAGAGGAAAGCACACGTACTCAAAGTAAGCTTTGTTGACAGCTGTCGTATCACTCATGGTGGCTTTATTTGTGCTGCAAACTCGATTCGAGTGAGTCTGTACGCAAGTAGAACGAACGGCGTGCGTGCGAGCAGAGCAAGGCGAGTGAGGTGGCTGAGATCGACGACCAAGAGCGGGGGCCAAGATGCAAGAAGGGCGGTCAAAAGATGGACGAGGCAAGGCAGCAAGCCGTGATGCACACAAGCTTAAATGCCAAAAGAAAAACGGAGAGAATCGAGCGACTGGGCTCCGTGTATGTCTCCGAGTCTTGCTGTTTGAGTGCCAGGTATCTCCACGAAGAGACAGGTGAAGTGGCAGAAGCGATGGAGCGGAGACATTTCGGCAACATCCATCCCCACAATCAACAGCGATAAGTTAAGTCGACACAGGTCTAAGTTAGTGTGCCGCAGTTACGGCGACCCGCTCACGCCCGCCCGCGCGTGGTCGGCAACGACGCGGCGCAAGGCGTCCCACGCCCGGCGGAGGCCCCGGCCGGTGTTGATGGTGGGTAAGAAAAAATGAGGCCGGAACGTTCAAGCTCGCCGTGCTATGCGGGCTGCCTACCGCCGTTGTGTCTGTTGGCCGACGGCGCCCCATGGGCGTATCTACCCGACATGCAGCCTTGATTGCCCATCTGAGCTCTCGGCCATTGACCATGGGTCAATCCGACGACACTGCTCTGACACGTCTCTTGGCTTCATCGTGCCGCCGCCTCGTGCTCCGCGCACCACCACAAGTATATGTACCTTGAGCATGGCACGAAAGCACTGTTTGTTTGTCCCACGGGGCGAGAAGATGAAACCCAAACGATCAGACCGGTCTACTTGCTGTCGCGGTCCGGCCGGTCCAGACCTTGCCTGCTTGACGACTCCGCGCGCCTCCTCGCCCCCCCCCTCCCTTCTTCTTCCCACCCGAACCGGGGATGCTGCCCCGCGCCTGGACTCATCTCGATGGCCTGATGAGAGGGCACTCTTCCCGCCTTTCGGCCGGCCGCTGCTGGCTATGCATGGCCTTAGGCAAGGCAAACAACAACCTGAACGGGCGACAAACAGCCAGTACGCCGTGTCCAGGGATATGCCACCAACACACGCACCCCGCCCACGGTTGCTTGCATACGTCGTGCTCGCCGAGCAGGAGCCCTTGTTGGACGTCCGATAAGCTGAGGGTTGCGCCACCCCTTGCGACCCCAGCCCCTCCCCATGCAAGGCAAGGAGAAAAGAAGGTGAACAGAGGGAAAGAGGAGGGGGGGGGGGGTGGGAGACCAAGAACACTTTCACCTAATTGGACACGGCCACCTGGATTGAGCTGAGCGGGAGAGAGACGGAGGGGGAGAGTGATAAAAAAGCAAAAAGCAAGGGGACACTGCGTGCAGCCGCGGGTACCGGGGGCCAAACCGCAACTGTCATGGAAAGTTGGCAGAAACGACCAGATCGGCGTCGATCCTGCCGCAGCCCGCGCCGGTCCGCAGCCTCTGGTTACGGCGAGTGGAACGACCCCTAGGCGATGTGCGATTCCCGATGGGCGAGACGAGCGAAGGAGGGGGGGGATGCGGTCAGGCCAGGCCCAAGCGGGCTCGAGGCAAGGCAAGGCAAAGGCAGAGAGCATGCAGCTCGTCTCGTCTCCTTAACCCCGGCTCCCGAAGTGAAGGGGTCGCGCGCGCTGACGGGGCGGATACGTACGTTCTTTATTGCTCTGGATCCAAGCCGGTGTGTGCCGACCGTCCTCGTGCTTGATGTTTGCTTGCTTGCTTGCTTGCTTGCTTGCTTGCTTGTTTGCTTGTTTGCTTGTTTGCCTGCCTGCTGTTTGTCTTCTTGTCAGCCAGCAGCCGAGTTAACCTGGCGCTACCTGGCACCAATGATCTGGTGCGCCTGGGTTGGTCAATTCCTGCAGCCGCCGGAAGGACACCCCCGTCCGCCCGTGCCCCCGTGCCGTGTTCGGGTCTTTGCCCATGCATGCTCGCCCTGTCAGATTGGAAATTCACAGATGGACGGGGGCATGGGTACTTCCGTGTCTCTCCACTGCGCGACTCGCATCCCGGTGCGCCTTGCCTCGCGTCCTGCACGCTGTTTGCTTCGTCGTGTGCTGTCGTGCTTTCTCGTGGCCTGGCGTTTCCCGGCATTGTGCGTTCAGCGTTGATTAGCGTTCCATGTCCAGCGTCCTCCATGCTGCATTCTTCATTCTGTATTCTGCATTCTGCATTCTGCATACAGAATACTGCATACAGAATACTGCATCGCGAGGGGGTGCGTGCGGGTGGGCTGTTTGCTTACTGGCATCCATGCAGCAGCAGGTAGACACCTGCTTCGCAAGTACCTGATCCCCATGGTCCGAGGAAGAGGCCGTCCGAATGATGAGTAGGTTGAAGGGTGGTGATGACTCGTCTCCGAGCCCCGAAACCCGTGGCTGCCGACGACACGACTATAACGCCCAGAGAGATCTTGGGCAACTCATGATTTGGTTCGTTTCCCGGGGCCGAGAGGTGAGGGAAGACACCGTACTCGCAAGTCGGCCCAGCACTGCCCGACATGCAATGCCTGGCAAACAACAGCCATCGTCCTCTGCTTCTCACTTCCTGGTTTCTTCAAGGTTCGGGCCCCTGATTCTGCTCTTGAAACCAACGAGAAGTAAAATGAAAAAAACAACTGAGACAGCAACAAGAACAACAACAACAGTGGTGCGCGGACAGTTCGAGTACTGCAGAGCTAACTTGACCCAATACGTGGTGGCGGCGCAGCGCCCAGGTACACTAGAAGCGAGCAGTCAACTCATGGTGATTTATTTGCTCACCGCTGCTTCGCCGCCTCCATGGAGCAGGAGGATGGATGGAGCCCATGCGTCAGGGATGAAGCAGCGTGCATTCAGCAGCAAGCAAGCGGCCAGTCGCCTGCATCCCCCATCATCCAGATCCAATCCTCCACGCCAACGTCGGCGCAGCCTCTTGTTCTGTTGCCTCGCAGCGTCCTTGTCGTCCACCTTGTCCACCAATTGATTTGATGGCCTCGGCCTCGGCTGCCACCAGACGGTGCCAAAAACGCAGCGCGTTGCATTGCATTGCAAGACACGGCAGAGCATGTCATCGAAGGAAGCTGTGTATGACAGCGGAAGCGTGCAGAAAACCGTGCCGTTGAAATCAGCCAGCAATACCTACGAAGCAAAGTTTGCAGATGCGAACAACAGTGTGACGTTCAAGGAGAAGATTCCTGCCATGCATCCCATCGGTCGGTCATGGGCACAAATGCCGGGCGGGATGTGGCCCACGACATCTATTAGCGCCAGACAAGACCGCCATACCCCCCATTGCAACAGACTGCTTTTGGGCTCATCTTCACAAGGGCTGGGGAGAAAAAGAAAAAGAAAAGTGGTCCAATTCGCCAGCACAACAGGCACTGGGGCCTTCTCCACACAGCAAGACCTGCATGCGGTCGCGGTCTCGTGGGAAATTCTGGACGCGGTCAATGACAGGGGTAGGACGGAGCTGCCAAGGCTCCTTGTAAGAAAAAAAGATGAGAGCAACGGGAGTGAGGAGGAGGAGGCGTGGGAGGGCCGGCCGGAAACCACCAGTCGTAGCAGCAGCAGCACTCGCAAGGAGGTGCCGAGGGGTTTCGTGAAATGATGGTAGGGTGCTCAAGTAAACGGAGACACATGGTCTACAGGATTGCCAGGGAGGGCGGGCGCGGGCGTTCAGAGTGACATCCAAGCATTGTTGGCCGACTTGGACGTGGCTCGACGCATCGTGATGCTTTCGTTGGTCTGCCTGTTGGGATTGAGCGAGGGGGCAGCGAGTGGCATTCTGCCACGAGAGCCGTCGTCCATGCTGCCATGCGCATGCCATGGCCCCGTTCATTATCGTCCCGTCACTGTCACCTTCACCCATCTCTTTTTCCCACGCCCCCCCCTACCATCTGTGCAGTAGTTGCATGCCTGCCCGGTCTGTTGCTGCAGTTGCATCGTCACATCACACCCGAACCCAAGCGAAGCCAAGTGACGCGACCGTCCGCGTACAACGCGTGCGGACCCGCCAGGTGCGCACTGTGGTCGCGAGTCACGGCGCAATCTGACCAAATGAGATAGAACCCGACATCGTGCGAGCATCCGGTAGGGTTGCTAGCCACCTCAACTGGTCCCGTCTGTTCCTATTGGCAAGTTGCCGGCGTAAGCTGGGCAGAAGCATTGCAGTGTTGGGAGAATCGTCTCAGTCGCTGGGGACAAGGCCCTCTCGTTTGCATGCAGTAAACGTTTGCTGACAGTCAGTCTCGTGGGAAATGCATTCCAATTCGAGGCCATTCAGGTTCGCTGCGGACCTGTGCCCGTCTCCGCAAGCCACACTGTTTGCCCGTCCCAATTCGACTCCCACGGCCCCCTGGTCAGCGATCAGCTCAGCTCGGACGGTCTTGACCCCTGTTTGTGTCAAGAAAAAGCCATCTGGACAAGCCGTCTCGGTCACCAAGGTTGTGCCGCCGACATGAAAACCTGGAGGCGACGGATGCACTGAGGAAAGGAATACTCGGATCTCTGGTGAATTGTTGCGTTCATGGCCCAGGATTGCCAGGCTGGCTCGAGTACCAGTGAGGACAATTTCGGTGTTGTTAGCTGATTCTGTCAGCTGTTCCTTCGGACATCCCCATTTTCGCCTGAATGCGTGAGGTCGTTGCTAGACGAGGTCACCTAAGGTAAGTCGTTGTCATCCTGCACTCACTAATAAATTCAGCTGGGTAACAACTGAGACCAACCTCGTCATGGTGACCTCCCCGTCGGGCATAGATCCTTGTCCAAATAGAAGCAAACGGGCAAGCGGGGAAGGGCGGGAGGGACGGGACACCACGGCTACTCGCAGGCATATTTACTCACGTGACCAACATGAGCCAGCCCCTATACAAGCCAGCCCAATCAAACCAGACCACGATGGTTGCTTGGAAAGGCCGTGATTGACAGAGGCTGTGAATCAGGTCCTTGGACGTTTTTCTTGTTGCTTCTCTCCCCATGTCTGAGACACCGGGATGCTCGACAGGCCCATCGGG